TGGAGGACGGGGTGCAGGGGAGAGGAAGAGGGAAGAGGGGGCTAGCAGAGGAACACTGCCACAGCCAAGTTACAACAGTTCGAAAGCCAGGCAGAGCCCTCGGGAGTGTGCGGTGAGATGAGCCCAGCTCCTTCATGGCTCACAGCAAGGCAGGACCACGGGAAGGCCACGACACCGGCAGACAGACCAGACTCTAGGAAACAGCCACTGAGGCAAACGCAGGGCCCATAGGGCCATGGCCTTGGCTGTGGGGACAATATGGAGACCCACACTGCGGCGGGATCTGCAGCACGCAGGCCAGGGGCTCTCTGGCTGAGGCTCTCCGTGGGGCAGTGGGAAGCCCACGCCGCCTTCTAGGATGGCAACCACGTCCCCGGGGGGAGGTGGTTGGCAGCACCCGCAGCGTCAGTGGATGGCTCGGCACCAGGTCACGTGCCCGCCCATGGCAGCCTCCAATGCCCAGGCTGAGGACCAATCAGAGCCTTCGAATGTCCCCTCCACATCCTTACCCTTGTCCTCAGGTGAGGAGACAGTTATCCTTTTTGTGCCTCAGAGTTCTCGTCTATAAAATGAAGATCTTCTGCTCTCCTGGACCAGTTCCCAAAACACCTCTACTCCAGGCAGGACTTAGCCTCACTGGCCTTACCACACTTATCTGCAAAATGGGGCTCCCGCCAGGCCCCAGCCCTCACCAGATGATGGTGGGGATCAGGAGACCCTGAACAGCACTGGGTTTGTTGAACGAATGTCTGCAATGAGCTATACACCATTCTGAAAGGCCTAACCTACTGTCGGGGGCAGGACAGGGTCTGGTCACTGGGGCAACCCGTGGGGACAGGCCAACACGTTCCCCTCTTCCAAACATCCCTGAGCTCTGGCTGCCATGGTCTCAGGCTGGGCACTAGGGCCAGATGTGTGGCAGCCCCAGGCTCAGCCCACAAAAGCTCCTGGGCTGCGGGGGGCGGGGAGGGAGACTGACACAGGGTGACCGACCGCCTGGGGGAAGCCAGTGGGTGCCATGGGCACCCAAGAGGGGATCTCTCAGAATGGCCTGCAATGAGCCTGTGTGGCAGGCTCACTAATGCCAATCCCCCCCATATATCAGTGTCCTAACTGCTGGAACCGGAGAATGTTCCCTTATACAGCAAAACAGACTTTGCAGATGTGATTAAGGGTCTCGAGTTGTGGAGATCATCCTGGCATATCCAGGCAGGCCCTCAATGTGATCACAGGTGTCCTTATACAAGGGAGGCAGAGGGAGATGTGACCCCAGAAGAGGACCAGAAACTGGAAGAGACAAGGAACAGTCACCCACAGAGCCTCCAGAAGGATCTGGCCTGCCAACACCATTTTAGTCCCCTAAGACAACTCGGACTGCTGACCTCCAAAACACTAAGAGAATAAATTGGGTGTTGTTTTAAGCCACAGCATTCACTGTTACAGCAGCAAGAGGAAATGAATACTGATCCTGGAGAAGACGTGGGTAGGCATGTATGTGGCCTCACACCTCTTTTCTGCTCAAGGGAGTGAGTGCACAGCTAGCAAGGGAGGGTGAAGTTCTTACGCCCTGAACTGCTTCAATGTAAAACAAAGTCACTCCAGACTTCAGTGTTGTAGTTCCTACTGCTGGTCACAAACCACTCAGGGCGTGCTTCCTCCTGACCAGAGTAAGTCGCCCAGTGTCAGGCAGCACCCAGTGGCAGGAGGGCTCTGTGGCACAGCGCAAGGCCCTGTGGCCATCCCTGAACACAGCCATTGAGGGAAGGTGAGCATGGGCTTCATCTGCTCTGGCCGCTAGCCCCTTCTCCCGCAAGCCCACATGCCCCGCTGTGGCAGAAAGCCACAGGCCACCCCAGCCCCAGCCACTGGCACCCTCATATCCCAGGGCAGGTAGAATGGGGAGCAGAAACTTGGGCAGGACAGCAAGCAAATGCTCACATTCCACTAGCTTCCTGTGTCTGAGCCTAAGGGCCACCTTACTGGATTAGAATCCTAAAGGGACTTGGCCCATTTTGCCTTTAGTAAGCAGGGAAAAGCAGGGCCTAAGGCCAAGGGAAGCCGGCAGCCTGGCCCAGCCTGGCCTAACCAAATGCAATCCTGGAGTGTCACCATCAACCCAGGGAGGACAAGGGGCAGAAGAGCTCCCTGGGGGACTTGAGGGCTAGAGGGAAGGAGCCCATATTCTTACTTGAGAATATGGGAGCAGGGGGAGGGAGGTGAGAAGACTAGCTGCAGATGAAAAGACTCCCCATCTGGACAGACAGACTCTCCATCTGTCTGTGCAGCCCCAAGTGGGGAGCTGGAGAGCTGCTCTCAGTGGCTGGGGTAGCCCAAGGCCTGCTGCTGAGAGCTTTTTGTATGACTCTTCAGGGACAGAAGACTCTGGGAGGCCCAGGGACTTGGCTGGGTAGATAGACACGGGGCTTCTGAGCCCCTCATAGCTCTCCTCACCCCGTGAAGGGGGCGGGGCAGGGGCGCTTCTACTTCCAAGGGAGAAAACCCTTTTCCTATTACTCTTCTCCCAAAGTTGGCCCCTCTTTACTGTGGACGGTATCCCTCAGGAAGAAGGCACTAAGTGATAGCAACAGTTAATTACACTCGACCTTGAACAACAGTGAGGGCTGGGGCAGGCATTAGGGGTGCCGATCCCCCCAGTCAAAAATCCACATATAACTTTTGATTCCCCCCAAAACTTTACTAACAGCCTACTGTTAACCAAAGCCTTACCAATAGCATAAACAGCTGATTAACAAATATCTTGTTTGTCATATTATATACTGTAATCTTACAATAAACTAAGCTACAGAAAAGAGAATGTTATTAAGAAAATCATAGGGAGGAGAAAACACATTTACAGTACTGTATTATAAAAAATCCACATACAAGTTGACCCATGCAGTTCGAACCTATGTTGTTCAAGGATCAACTGTACTATTAATTATAATGGCTATCAAACACCAGTTTGCATACATACTTCAAGCAACACGATCTACCTTCATCACCACCATCCCGAATCCCTATCATTAGGCAGCACTTATCCCTGGGCACAGGCAAGGGCAGAGCCAGTCTCAGAGAGGCCCGCACACAAGGCCAGGCCCCGCAGGTAGGAGGTGGTGGAGAGAGGCTTCGAGGTGCCCTCAAGGGCTCTGAGGAGGCGTCCTGTTCAGGGACCAGAGCTTCAGGGCTGTCCCAAGAACCTGTGGGGAAGGCAGAAGCAGCCCAAGGCCTGGAAGCGGGGTCCTGAATGTTACCCCCAAGAGCCCACAGTCTTCCCACAGCCAACTTCCATCTCACTGACTTCCCCCAGTGGTGGTCCCATCTCAAAAGGGGCTCTCGACCCACACTCCCTCTGCACGGGGTCCCTGTGCAGCCCTGGTGCATCCCCCCATTCGCAGCACCCCTGCAAGGGGAATCTCTATTGGAACCCCTTCTCCAAGCCAAACCTAGCCCTGGGTGGGGGACTGGGCAGAGGAGAGGCAGGGGAGCAGGGAGGGGGCCTCTGCCTGCTGTGTCCTCCTCCTCGCTGGCCCCCACAGTAACTCAACCGTCACAAAGCCGAAGATGGGGGACAATTCTCAGATGCACATCAGACCATTTAACGCCCCCCCCCCAACCCAGGCCTTCTCCCTGGACCTGCAGTGCCCCGCCCTTTCTCTTCTGCTTGGTGAACTTTTCAGCCTTTGAGACCCAGCACCACTGTATCTGCAGGGAAGTGTCCCCCAGCTCCGAGGCAGGTTCCTGCACTGGGGTTGACCCACCTGCCCCACCAGTCGAAGGGAGGCTCACTCGGCAATGATCCCACCTCACTGTCCTGGCGCCCAGCTCTGGTCTGACCTTAAGCGGGCGCAGCTGGGTCCACCCGACCCTGCCCAGTCTCCTCAGCCGGGAGCAGCAGCCAGGCCTCCCCACCCCTACCCCAGGACTCTGGGGACCAGAGCAGGGACCAGGACCAAAAGATCCTGAGAGGTCTCAATCCTTTCAGGAAAACACAGTGGTTTCCCCCATGAGGCCTCACACCGAGGGTTGGCTGAACCCTACTCTCAAACCCCTCTCTTCCAGGAAGCCTACCCAAACCACCAACCCCCCACCCCAGGATATTAGGAATACTTGGCCTCAGCACTTCACTCTCCAACGCTAGTACAGGAAGAAGATTCTGACTTGAGAGCCAAGCTGACCCACCTTCAAATTCTGGCTTAGGAGCCCTGAGAAACAAGGTGGCTCACTGCCCCCTCTACCCTACCCTCCTCATCCCAGTGAGGGCCCCGGGGCTGAATCCCTCCAGGAAGTGAAACCTGGACAGACTTGGCACCTGTTCATGATCTTCTGTCCTACTTCACCTGTGGACCCCAGGCAGGTCTCCCCAGGTCCCCAACTCTCAGGGGTGGAAGCAGGATCAGAGAAGCCCAAGATCCATTCTCTCCCAAATCTCCCCTCCTCCCCCGGCCCCCTCTGACACACCCAAGCCCAGGAGCCCAGAAAGAAGAAAGGCCGCCATCCAACCTGGCAGGAGGGTCGGGAAGGGAGCTGGCTTTGGCCCTGCCCTTTCCCAAGCTTCCAGCACCGGGGCTGGGGGGACATCCAGGTGGGGTTGCGGAACTGAACCCACGGCGGAGGGCTGGGAAAAGAACAGGAAAGGGTAATTGTGAGGACGAGAAGCGACCGTCAAGTCGGGGAGCGTTAAACCTCAGCGCGTCGGAACTAAGAATCTGGCTCCGGAGCACCCACCGAGGAGGAGGTGAAAGAGGCCCCCGGCCGCAAGGTGGGGATGGCGGTGGGCAGGAGCCCTGGAGGCGGGGGAGGCTCGTGGAAACCCCCCGCCCCCGCCTGGGGCCTCAAGGCCCGCGCTCACCTCTTCCTCCCCTGCCTGCGGGTTGCGCACCCTCACACCGATTCGTGCTCACCGGGCACGCACCGGCCGGCGCTGCACCCGCACACACACCTCCGAAACACACACGAACACGCGCGCTCGCACACACCTCCCTCTGCGCAGCTCCTCCTACCTGCCGCGCCGCCGCCGCTCGGGCAGGACTCGGACTCTGGGCGCCGCGCGAGCACGGGAACCCGGACTGCACGGGCCTCCCGCTCCGGCCGGGGGATCCCTCCGGTGCTGGCCTGGGGCGGGGGCTCGAGCTCGGACTCCCCGGCCGCGGCCCGCCCCGCCCCGCGGCCTCCGCCCATTTGGGGACAGAGGCGTGGTCTCCAGCGGGGCGGGCGGGCCAGGATTGCTGCGCAGGCGAACTGGCGCCGTGCCGCGGGGCTAAGCGGCGGGGAGGTGGCCGCGGAGTTCCCGCTCGGGGATAGGAGGGGGACTCTAGGCCAGCGCGGCTCGGCTCGTTCAGGTCCCCGCTCTCCCTCCCTCCCAATTTCGCACTGTCAGCCGTTGTGTATCTCCGGGAGCCCCCCCGCCCCAGGGCCGAGCCCAGGTGTGCCCGAGGGTTGTGTGCCAGTTCCGCGGAAGACTTGCAGGCCGGCCGAGCTTAGGGCATGCATCTTGTAGAGAGGCATGCATCTTGTAGAGCCATGCAAGGGCCAAAACAGAGGGCTGGGAAATGAGGAACTTGAAGGGGCGCGTACCCCTCTCTTCCCCACCTCCAAGGTTCGGTACGAGGAGGGGGAAACTAAATCCCCGGGAGGCACACCGTGATGCGGAGAGCTGGCCCCAGGCGCACAGTGTGCCTTTACGCGTGCTGTAAGAGGACTGCAGCAGGAGCGGCATGTTTCTGGAGTAAGGTTGAGAAGATCTGTGACATGCCCAACCGCGGCACACAGTAGGGGCGCAGGGCTCCGAGTAGACCTGCCAGCCTGATCTGTGCCAGCCCACTTTGCAGATGGAGAAACTCCGGCCCACTCACCGGGGTTCTCAGTCTCGGTTATGATCTCATCAACGTCTCAGGCACTCGGACTGTCCGGCCACCACAGCACAGTCTCTGTCCCAGGCCTCGCAGATATTTCTCCCCGGGATGCAGCTCCAGCCCCGCCTCCTCTGCCCCACTACCCACTCCCCACCCCCCGCATCGTCCCTGTCCATGCAAGGGAACTTTCAAACATGCAGCCATGATGACGGGCCACCCTCAGAATATTGTTTCAAAACAGCCCCTGTGACTGATTTCCCCACTCACACCCCATTGCTCGGCCTGTGTCCTGGCTGCCGCCTCCCCAGACCCTCAGGGCTCCGCTCGAGGCCGCCGCCTCCCCCACCCTTAGACCTTGTTTATGCAGCTCGGCGGCGGTCTGAGACGCTCTTCCTTCCCACTCCAGGAGGAAAGTGCTGATCATCAGGCCCCCAGTGCCAGGGCCTCCATCACCAAGCCCCACCCCCACCTCCCCACTCCGAAGCCCCACCCTCCCCTTCTTCGGGGTTCCCACCCAGTTGTTTGTGCTGCCTCCCTGGCCGTGACCTCTCGCAGCCTCTCTTATAATCCGTGTTGGAGCCTTGACCTCCCTGGGAGGTTGAGGCTGATTCTGGAGAAGATAGTAATACTAGGGGAAGCCAGGTCGGCCGGCTCCAGTGCTCACTCTGCCCATCCCTGGCTGCATGACCCAGGCAAGTCCTCTGTCCCCTTTCCTGCCTGTAAACTGGGCTTCTTGGGGAAATGTGTGATGGTCCCCCCAGGCAAACTGTCAGGCCCCTATTGCCAGTTATGCAGGGTTCCCAGTCATGTCTGAGAAAACATTCGCCTCAGCCTGCAAAACAGTGAATGTTGGGTCCCCTTGTGTTTTCAGAGCGTTGGAACCACCATAAGTGTCATGTGTTGATCCCAAGCTTGAGTTCAGAACTCACTCCTGGGCTCCTATCCGTAGTAGGACCCAGGCCCAGTCACCCATCTCTCTGCTTCCATCACCTCCCTACAGAAACAATCTGGTAGCCTTCACATCACGGGGGTGTGAGAATTAAATGTGCCATTCCTGTGAAGCCCCTAGAAAGGGCCCTGGCTCAGAGTAAGTGCTTGGCACAGTCGAGCTGATGCTATGTTCATCCCATCCAACCCCCTCATTTTGGGAAGACAGTGGGTCCTGAGAAGCAGAGATATGTACACATGATTAGTTAGAAGCCTAGGCATTCCAGAAGGTCAGAACTGCAAGGGCCCACTCTGAGCCCATCCCTGGCAGTACCCACCTTCTCTGACAGATGAGGAGAGAGGCCTAGAGAGACGGTGACCCGTCCAGGGCGCCCATCACATTTGGGGGTTGGAGGAGGCACTGGCCCTGCTCTTGTAGGGGTGTGATGGGGGAGGGGGGGTTGTTGTGTATGGTCTGCAGACAAGCCAGGAAGAACCTGGTCTCCCAGCAAGCTTGAGGAAGGGGTGGAGCTCTACTGGGGCTTTGGTGGCTCTCAGTCTTTGTAAACTGAGTCATTGACAGATGCCACCATGGGACCTGCTGTGTAGGTGCTTTTCCCATTAAATTCTCACAGCCAGCCTCTGCAGGAGCCCTCATTAGACCCATGAGCCTCAGGGAGATGCCCCAGTCACACAGTCAGGAAATGGTAGAACTGGGATCCACACCCACCCTGTCTGACTCCACTCTTGTGCCCTCCTCCTTCTCTTCTTCTCTGCCCCAGGGAAAAGCCACCTCTCTAGACCCCTTGACTGGCAAGCCAATCTGCTTGCATCCCGCTGTAAGTGGGAGCTCATTCCCTCACAGGGCAGCTCTTTCGACTCCTCTTTTAAGAGTCTTTTGTCCCCTAAAGTTGACCCACCGCTCTCTCCATAGTTCTGTGGGTCTCCATACCCCCCACCTCACCAGAGCCTGGGCACAGAGTCCTCTCTGCTCCAGTCCAGAACACCCTTATCTTGACTGCTCCTGTATGTAACAAGGGTTCCCAGGAGAAGCTCTTACAATAAAAATAATTTCTTTCAAGCTTTGAGGGGCGCCTAGGTGGCTCAGTGGGTTAAAGCCTCTGCTTTCGGCTCAGGTCATGATCCCAGGGTCCTGGGATCGAGCCCCACATCGGGCTCTCTTCTCGCCAGGGAGCCTGCTTCCCTTCCTCTCTCTCTGCCTGCCTCCTCTCTGCCTATGTGTGATCTCTGTCTGTCAAAATAAATAAATAAAATCTTTAAAAAAAATAATTTCTTTCAAAAATCTCAGCAGATCTAATTGGCTAGGTATTGTTTGAGAAGCCTGGAGGAAGCACCCCAGCGTGGGGAGTGGCTGGTGTCTTGGCTGGAAAGGATTCAAATAACCATGTCGACCAGTTCCCCTACTCCCATCTAGCCAAGGGGTTGTAGAAAGGATTGCAGCCAGGGATTGTAGGCCAAGGACTGTAGGGAGAGAGATGAGTCAGACAGAGTTTTCAGATTGGGAATAGTCACTAACGGTATTCTCCCGAGAGTACAGGAAATGGGAGGGTCACAATGGGCTTCCAGCAGACACATGGAAAATGGTGACACAGAGGACAAGATGATGTTTCAGTTGCTCTTAATCCCAGAACTCTCTGAAACATTGTCTATATTTTGCTAGTATGCTGGGTTTTCTTAAGAGCCAGCTAGAACCAAGTGGGATTCATTCCAGGAATGCAAGGTTGGTTTAACATTAGAGAATCTGTTAATAGCATTAGCTTGCTAGGGCTGCCGTCACAAAGTACCCCAAACTGGGCAGCTTAGACAACAGAAACGTATTGTCTCACAGTTCTGGAGCCTAGGAATCCAAGATCGGGTGTCATTAGGGTTGGGTCCTTCTGAGGGCTGTGAGGGAGAATCTGTTCTGTGCCTTCCTCCTCATTTCTAGCAGTTGGCTGGCAATCTGTGGCATTTTTTGACTTGTAAATACAACACCTTAATCTACATTTTCATGTTCACATGTGTTTTCTCTGTGTGTGTCCACCTCTGTGTCCAGAATTCCCCTCTTTAATAAAAACACAAGTCATATTGGATCAGGGTCAATCCTAACGTCCTCATTTCTTGATCACCTTTTTAAAGACCCTATTTCCAAGTAAGGTTACATTCTGAGGTTCTGGAGGTTAGACCTCAACATCTTTTGGGGGACCCAAGTGAACCCATAATAAACATGTGCCATATTAATGAATCTAGGAGGAAAATAATATAATATTCTTTATGGATGCCAAGAAAGCCTTTAACAAGATTCAATGCCCATTCATGATAAAAATACTCAGTGAAATAGGAAGTGAGTGATATTTCCTCAAATGATAAAATGTAGTCTTAAAGCCAGCATCTTATATAATCAAGGAACACTGGAAATATTTCCGTGAAGATCAGGAACCAGTCAAGAATGACCATTTGGTCCACCACTCTTCCACATAGGTATTAGCTAACACCATTAGACAAGAGAAATCAGTTGGAGGCCTGACAATAAGTGAGAAAGAAATAAAACTATCTCTATTTGCAGATGACAAAATGTTATACCTGAAAAACCACAGAGAATCGATGATAAAACTAATTCAAAGGATGTCTGGATGACTCAGTCAGCTAAGCGTCTGCCTTTGACTCAGGGCATGATCCCAGGGTCCTGGGACTGAGTCCCACATCTGCCTCCTTGCTTGGTGGGGAGCCTGCTTCTCCCTCTGCCTGCCCCTCCTCCCCCTGCTTATGCTCTCTCTCTCTCTGCCTAACAAATAAATAAATAAAATCTTTAAGATAAAATAAAATAAAAAACCCTAACTCGAACAGTAGAAGACTTCAGTAAAGTAGTAAGATGTAAAGTTAAAATATAAAATTCAAAAAACTTTGTATATAGAAAAATAATAAACAAAGGTCCTAACAGTACAGAAAACCCTATTTGTGATAACAACAAAGATTAAATGCTTAGGAACAAATTTAATTAGAAACGTGTAAAACCTATATGAGGAGGGATGCCTGGGTGGCTCAGTCAGTTAAGCGTCTGCTGTCAGCTCAGGTCACCATCCAGGGGTCTTGAGATCAAGTCCTGTGCGTGGCTCCTTGCTCAGCGGAGAGCCTGCTTCTCCCTCTGCCTCTGCTGCTCCCCCTGCTGTGTGCTCTCTCACTGTCTCTCTTTCTCTCAAATAAATAAACAAATAATATATTTTAAAAGTCTTTGAAATGTAACCACTCTTAAAAAAAAAAAACAACTATATGAGGATAAATCAAAACATTCTTAAAAGACACTAAAGAAGAACGATTGAAAAGACATCCCCTGCTCTTGGGTAGGATGATTCAACATTGTAAAGATGTTAGTTCTTCCTATGTTAATTTGCAGTT